CAAGAAGTCTAGCCTTGTTTCTCACTATATTACCACTCTCATCAAGCTTATTCCTAAATACCCATCTAGTACCTACAGTAGATTTATTACTAATGTCCATACTTTACTTCTCTCAAATTGATTTAACTCTTCTTGCATAGCCATAATCCAATGTTCATCATTTAATGCTTCTTTAATATTCTTAGGCTCTATGCATGAAATAAATGCAACATAATTACAAATATTTCTAAGAGAAGATCGAGTTGTTGCCCCTTTGGATGGATCACCTATAATCTCACCATCCTTGACATAGTTGTACTCTCTTGGATAAGATACTTCCCTTTCTTCAATGGTTGGATTCTCGAGAGGATCATGAGTTTTCTCATCTTTCGTTTCTTCCTTTGATGATGATTCCCCAACGTCATGTCTAACGTCATTTGTATTTATAATACCTACATCATCATTAACACAAGAATCCTTCCTCGGAAGGAGATTATCATCGAAAACAACATGTATAGACTCTTCTACAACTAAAGTTCTTTTATTAAATACTCGGTAAGCTTTAGAATTTAAGGAATAATCCAGAAAAATTCCTTCATCACTTTTAACATAAAATTTGCCAAGGTTTTCTTTACCGTTGTTTAAAACAAAAACATTTACATCCAAAAGGATGAAAATAGTTAATGTTAGGCTTTTTATTTTTGAAAATTTCATATGGAGTTTTCTTTAAAATTGGCCTAATCATTACTCAATTTACAACATAACAAGCGGTATTTGTGGCTTCCGCCCAAAAATATTTTGGCAAATTATTTTCACAAAGCATGGTTCTAGCCATTTCTTCTAAAGTTCGATTTTTCCTCTCAACAACTCCATTTTGTTGAGGGGTTCTAGGTGCTAAAAAATTATGGTTAATACCATTAGAATTACAAAACTCATTAAATCCAAGATTTTCAAATTCAGTGCCATGATCACTTCTAACACTAGTGATAGAGTAACCTTTTTCGTTTTGGATTACTTTTGAAAATGTGATAAAATTTTCTAATGCTTCATCTTTAGTACTTAAGAATAGAACCCAAGTATATCTAGAATAGTCATCTACCAATACAAATGCATATTGTTTTCCACCCAAGCTAGTAGTCTTAGTTTGCCCAAAAAGATCTATATGGATCAATTGTAATACTCTACTAGTTGACACATCATTAATGGATTTAAAAGAAACTCGCTTTTGTTTTCCTTTAGCACAAGCATCACAGATTTTATCATTATCAAATTTTAGTTTAGGCAGCCCTCGAACCAATTCTCCTTGAACTAACCGTTGCAAAACACTCATGCTAGCATGTCCTAGTCTCCTATGCCATAACCAACTATCATGTTCATCCTTAGCAACTAGGCACAAATTAGTCATATCAATAGAATCTAAATGCACCATGTATATGTTTCTTATTCTATGACCAACAAGCATAATCCGATTAGATGCAATGTCAATGACTTTATAACCATTAATTTCAAACATGACATTGAATCCCTTATAGCATAATTGACTACTACTCAATAGATTAAGCTTTAATCCATTCACATATAACACATTTTTAATTTGTATGGAAGAGGTATTACTTATAGTACAAATACCTTCAATGTGACCTTTTGAATTATCACCAAAAGTCACTTCTCCTCCATTTTTAGCGTTAAGCTCTATGAACCGGCTTTTGTCTCCGGTCATGTGTCTCGAGCATCCACTATCAAGGTGCCATGAATTTGGATTTGTTTCCCGTGCCTTGTAGCAATGCTCCTTTTCCTACAAACATAGATTAATTTCTAATTTTGGTACCCAATTCTTTTGGGTCCATATTCATGAGTTTCTAAAATCCTTGTCCCTTGGTATCCATTTATGAAGGACTCCTTATATTTAGTAGTAATGAATTCTTTAGAACCCATATACTCCTAACAATTTTACCCATTCAAGTTCGTTGAGGACTTCTATGATTGTAGCTTCTAAACTTTTCTTAACAAGTTGGATTTTGATTCTCACATTTTTCAAAACTTTTTGTTCCCCTTATTAAAAGAAGTTTTAAGATCATCAATCTTCTTTTGATGATCATCATGAACTTTTGAAAGTAAGTTATGCAAATCAGTATTTTCTTTTCAAAATTTCTTTGATCTTACTTTCAAGTTCATTGTTGGTCTTGGATATAAGACTATTTTCGTTTTTCAATTTTGAAATATCTTTTTTGTATTTTGAAAATAGAGTCTTATAATCTGAATCCAACCCATTATAATCCTCTAATAACCATCATAAGATAATTCATCCAAATCGAATGAGTTTAGAGGTTACCTTAGAATCTTCCCCGATAGCCATCAAGCACAAGGTTTGCAACTTCTTGTTCCTCTTCATAGGAACCTTCTTCATCGCTCCATGTAGCTACATGAGCCTTGTGCTTCTTTTGGATTGACCCTTTTCTTAATTGTGGCAATCATATTTGACATGCCCCGACTTTTTGTATTCATAGCAAATGATCGGTCTTTTTCCTTCGATCAGTTTGAAGCCTTCATGACTTTGAATTTTTCAATCTTATCGAGGTCTACTTCATCTTCAACCATCATTTCATGAGTGAGAAGGGAACCGATCAGTTCTTCAAGAGTTAAGGACATTAGGTCCTTAGACTCGATGATTGTCGTCTTCTTTGATTGCCATGATTTGGAGGGAGTAGACTAACTTCCTCACAAGCTTTTCATTTGAAATGATCTCTCCATATGATTTGAGACCATTGATAATCGTTGAAAATCTATCATAAGCTTTGATATCTTCATTTGGTTTCATCCTAAAATTTTCATAGTTATGCGTTAGAATACTAATTTTAGATTTCTTTACCTCATCGGTACCTTCATGAGTGACTTGAAGTTTGTCCCATATTTAGTTGGCGGTTGTACAAGATGAAACTCTTCCGTATTCATCTGGTCCAAGAGCACAAAATATGATATGGATGGCTTTGGAGTTGAGCTGGAACATTCTTGTCTCTCATTCACTCCACAATCTTGGATGAGTGAGAGGCTTGATGTATCCTTCTTCTACGGCAATCCATGCTCCCATGTCACTTGCTTGAATGAAGTACATCATCCTATTTTTCCAATAGGCATAGTTAGCCCCATTGAAGAAAGAAGGCTTGTTGACGGGCATTGAATCGAGACCGGAGTCGAAGTTTGAAGTAGAGGCCATTGATGACTTGATTATCGATGTAACTCTTCCCGAATCGACTCAAGAGGCGATTAAACCTTCAATGAGTTTAGGCTCTGATGTCAATTGTTGAGTTAATCGATTGACGGAATCGGCCAAGGGGGTGAATTGGCAATTAAATTTTGTGGAAGCTTTTGCAGAAAATTGAAAGTAATTGCACAACGATTTAGAGTGGTTCGACTTTCTCAATCAAAGTCTACGCCCACTACCTTAGCTATCCACACTAAGAATTTTCCAACAAATTCACTAATTTGTTCTTTTTTTTAGGCCAAAGAGATAACCTTACAACACCCTCAAGAATTATACCACAATTCTTGAGAACACTCTTTCTCAAAGAGGGGATTACAAATTTCGCAAACTTACTAGAAAAACCTCACAAGGCAAATATGTTTGCACAATTCTAGAATAAAGAAAGAACACTCAAGAATAAATACAATTGAGCACAATAAGTGTTCTTGAAAGCAAAATGAATATTGAATGAAAAATAGGCTTGAAATGCTCAAACTTGAGGTTTGATGCTTCTCTTTGATTCTCTCTTGATTCTAGTTGCTTGATGTTTCTTGTTGTTGATCAATGGCTTCTAAGTTTGTTTAAATAAACCTTGAATCATTTCTGAACGTTGGGGAATCATTAATGAAGTTATTGGAATCGTTTAAGTGTGAAAACAATTAATATTTCTACTTGGAGCGTGGGGGGAATCGGTACCCCCTCATAGGGAATCGGTACCCCCTCATAGGGAATCGGTTCCCTAAGTGTAAAATTTAAATATTCGACCGTTGAACAATGGGGGGAATCGATACCCCTAGGGGGAATTGGTTCCCTCTGAGCATACTGGAATTTCTCGAAGCCAAACCATTCAGGGGGAATCGGTACCCCTTGGGGGGAATCGGTTCCCTCTGGACAAACTGTAATTTTTGGCATTGAAACGGTTCGAAATACTTTGTAAAATTGTTTTGAAATTATTTTAAGATTAAAACTTAATTTTACACTTTAGTAAGGATTTAAAATGAACTTTGAAATACTTTGAGTAATATTTTGATATTCGATTTAATATATCGAATATGCTTAGAAAAATCATTTTCAAAATTAAAATTCTTTTAATTTAATTTGTTATATCGAAACATCAAAATGTTTTCAACAAAGATGACCATAAATTCTATCTAAATCTTGAAGTTACTGCCAAAGAAGCTTCCTAACTCTGTCATTATTGCTGTCATAAACAACAGTAATGATAATGGGTCAACCAAGATGAGTACCTTTAACAGTGATGCTCTGCTCAGAAACATGACAAACAAAAAACTCAATGCCTTTCCTCCATAAGATCCAAATCCTACCATTTATGCCAAAATCATAGTTGGTGCAAGCATTCTAGTTTTCAAATTTTCTACCTAGTATATTTACAGACTTATCAGCTTTTACTCTAGTCTCCAACAGACAAAAGACATCAATCTTGTTCTGGTTTTCTCTTCTTATAACAATCTCTTATTTGAGAGGGCAATTGAGCCCTCTAACATTCCAAAAACCTATGATCATTGGGAAAATATGTCAAGGGAACCTCCACTACCACCCACTTCAGCATTGTTAGCTTTTGTAAGCTTGTCTTTCTTTTTTAGTTTGAGCTCATTAACAATACTGGAAACTCTTAAGGAAGCTTCTCTAATCTTTCTTTGTTGGCCTTCAGGAGCAGTAGGAATATCATCAACATTACTAAGTATTTCAAATCTATTTTTTGATCCTGAAATATCAACTTTAGATTTATTCTTTTCAGGTCTTCCCCTGCCCCTTTTGGAAACAGTAGGTTTAGAGACAGATTTACCATCAGGAAGAGCATCTACAGTTTCAGAGTTAGTAGTTTGTTTCTCTTCGTTGGGTTCATTACTCACAGAGGCAGGATTATTAGTCATACCCACTGAATCAGTAGGTTTCATGTTAACTCCATCGGTATCATTAGAGACTTGCGATCCTTTTTCCTGTGAAACCACAATACCACCAGCAACATTTTCAGCTACTGTAATTGGGGTAATATCATCCTTCCTTTTCCAAATTTACTTTTTAACCGGAGCTGGATTTTTTAGTACAATATAATTTTTCTCGGAGTGACCAAAGACATTGCAGTGTTTGCATCGAGCAGGGAGCCAAGGTACTTCGACAATAACAGAAGTGGAGTTCCCATCTCTAAGAATGACCTCAACATATTTAGGAATGTCCTAGTTTACTTCTAGTTCAATGCAGATTTTAGCAAATTCTAGGTGTGTTTTAGCAGCAGTTACAGTGTCCATGGAAATTGGGGTTCCTATGGCACTAGCAATATAGCTCAAGCCTGCCCTAGAAAATAATTCAAGTGGGACATTATACAAATGAACCCAAACTGGAATCTTAAAGAGATCAAAATTTAATCTTGTCAAATTAGGCTCCCATTTTCTAAGAATTAATGGTTTATTTAGAATATGCCATGGTCCATTTTCAAGGACCCAATCTCTTGCTGATTCAGAATGAAAAGAGAAAACACACAGGTTATTTCCCACAAAACTAACCTGAATAGTGCTTCCTACCAGATCTTTCTTACACAGAGTATCCACGATGCGTTGCAAAGCCGCGAAGTTTGGAGCAGCACCGAGGAACTGCCTAACAAGCGAAAGCCTCCATTCAGAGATACCCGCTTCATAAACTTCTGGAGGGGGATGGACGGTTGTGACCCCATCGCTAACCCTAGGCGAAAAAAAATCCAGATTTTGCTCCGCAACACATCCAAAGAGTTTCCTCCAATCCATGGAACCCTTGATAGGAGTAGTGAGAAAGCAGTTGGAACAACCACTGAGGACACAACGAGATGATCGGAGAAGAAAACCAGAGACTCGACGGGGATTTTTAGATTTTCGTTAGCCCTGCTAATGTGCACCCAGAGAAATCCTAATCGTGCACTATTTTATATTCTCCGGAATAATCTGCTGACTAATTTTGAAAAACGTAATTTCTCTAATCACGGAAGCTGTCCATGCTGCGATGGTCCTTTGGAGGACATCGACCATATTTTTCGAAAATGTATTACTATCCTTCCCATTTGGACGATGCTCGTAAAAGAAGAAAAGGTTGAGGAATTAATGACGATGGAGATCAAGAAGTGGATTTGTACCAATCTGAGTAAAGTTTGCTATTTTCCTAAGGATAGCAAGGAGTAGGATAATATGTTCGGCTCGATCCTTTGGAATACTTGGTGTCATAGAAATTCCATAGTTTTAGATAATCCGTTGGAGGACAATATAGGTATTATCGAAATGATCAGGAGACTTCAAGGGTTGATGAGCAGAGCTACCGAACAAGAAGAGGAGGTGCAAAAAAGAGTAATTCGAACAAGGGTGGGCGGGACAGTGTGGATAGCTCCCCTTGAACATTGGATCAAAATGAACACTGATGGATCAAGAAATGTTGCTAACGGATTGGCCTCTTGTGAGGGTGTAATTCGCAATAATGCCGGAGAATAGCTAGTTGGCTTTAAAAAATTTATTGGCTTGTGCTCGATTTTGGAAACGGAACTTTGGGGAGTGTACTTCGGCCGTTATTGTTCTTGGAATACCGGTATGAGGAAAACATGTTAAGCGAACACAATAGAGAAAGGAGTCCACTGACAATAGTTGAGCATATTTATTGCTTGCTTGTTCGAGAATGGAGTTGCCGATAAACTAGTGAGGGACACTGGCCCGGAAGCGATTGAAACTCAGGTGTTGTACTATCCTCCAACTAATATCCTCGACATCTTGATGGTGGATTCTAGCTGATTGGTGATAGTCTTGTGCTTACTGTTTCGATGATGTGTGGATGTCGTGTGTCTGATTTTTTTTATGTTCAGTTGTAACGTTATTACCAAGTGTACTCTTTTCCTCAATTAGGATTAGAGAGGTTTTTAACGAGACTTGGCAATAACCCTCTGTTCTCACCAAAAAATCAATCTAGGGTGATTATAAGATATATATATTCATAATCTTTTTTAACCATTGACAACACAAACTCTACAAACACAACTATTTAAATCCAAGACTTCAAGAGAGAATAACACCTAGTTCAATGGAGATCATTATATCAATATCGGTATCTATTTATTCTATGTTAATTTGTAACCCTTTTTTACTGAATTTGTAAACTTTTTTAATATAGATAGATAGATAGATAGATAGATAGATAGATAGATAGATAGATAGATAGATAGATAGATAGATAGATAGATAGATAGATAGATAGATAGATAGATAGATAGATAGATAGATAGATAGATAGATAGATAGATAGATAGATAGATAGATAGATAGATAGATAGATAGATAGATAGATAGATAGATAGATAGATAGATAGATAGATAGATAGATAGATAGATAGATAGATAGATAGATAGATAGATAGATAGATAGATAGATATAGATAGATAGATAGATAGATAGATAGATAGATAGATAGATAGATAGATAGATAGATAGATAGATAGATAGATAGATAGATAGATAGATAGATAGATAGATAGATAGATAGATAGATAGATAGATAGATAGATAGATAGATAGATAGATAGATAGATAGATAGATAGATAGATAGATAGATAGATAGATAGATAGATAGATAGATAGATAGATAGATAGATAGATAGATAGATAGATAGATAGATAGATAGATAGATAGATAGATAGATAGATAGATAGATAGATAGATAGATAGATAGATAGATAGATAGATAGATAGATAGATAGATAGATAGATAGATAGATAGATAGATAGATAGATAGATAGATAGATAGATAGATAGATAGATAGATAGATAGATAGATAGATAGATAGATAGATAGATAGATAGATAGATAGATAGATAGATAGATAGATAGAGATAGATAGATAGATAGATAGATAGATAGATAGATAGATAGATAGATAGATAGATAGATAGATAGATAGATAGATAGATAGATAGATAGATAGATAGATAGATAGATAGATAGATAGATAGATAGATAGAGAGATAGATGATAGATAGATAGATAGATAGATAGATAGATAGATAGATAGATAGATAGATAGATAGATAGAGATAGATAGATAGATAGATAGATAGATAGATAGATAGATAGATAGATAGATAGATAGATAGAGATAGATAGATAGATAGATAGATAGATAGATAGATAGATAGATAGATAGATAGATAGATAGATAGATAGATAGATAGATAGATAGATAGATAGATAGATAGATAGATAGATAGATAGATAGATAGATAGATAGATAGATAGATAGATAGATAGATAGATAGATAGATAGATAGATAGATAGATAGATAGATAGATAGAGATAGATAGATAGATAGATAGATAGATAGATAGATAGATAGATAGATAGATAGATAGATAGATAGATAGATATAGATAGATAGATAGATAGATAGATAGATAGATAGATAGATAGATAGATAGATAGATAGATAGATAGATAGATAGATAGATAGATAGATAGATAGATAGATAGATAGATAGATAGATAGATAGATAGATAGATAGATAGATAGATAGATAGATAGATAGATAGATAGATAGATAGATAGATAGATAGATAGATAGATAGATAGATAGATAGATAGATAGATAGATAGATAGATAGATAGATAGATAGATAGATAGATAGATAGATAGATAGATAGATAGATAGATAGATAGATAGATAGATAGATAGATAGATAGATAGATAGATAGATAGATAGATAGATAGATGATAGATAGATAGATAGATAGATAGATAGATAGATAGATAGATAGATAGATAGATAGATAGATAGATAGATAGATAGATAGATAGATAGATAGATAGATAGATAGATAGATAGATAGATAGATAGATAGATAGATAGATAGATAGATAGATAGATAGATAGATAGATAGATAGATAGATAGATAGATAGATAGATAGATAGATAGATAGATAGATAGATAGATAGATAGATAGATAGATAGATAGATAGATAGATAGATAGATAGATAGATAGATAGATAGATAGATAGATAGCTAGATAGATAGATAGATAGATAGATAGATAGATAGATAGATAGATAGATAGATAGATAGATAGATAGATAGATAGATAGATAGAGATAGATAGATAGATAGATAGATAGATAGATAGATAGATAGATAGATAGATAGATAGATAGATAGATAGATAGATAGATAGATAGATAGATAGATAGATAGATAGATAGATAGATAGATAGATAGATAGATAGATAGATAGATAGATAGATAGATAGATAGATAGCTAGATAGATAGATAGATAGATAGATAGATAGATAGATAGATAGATAGATAGATAGATAGATAGATAGATAGATAGATAGATAGATAGATAGATAGATAGATAGATAGATAGATAGATAGATAGATAGATAGATAGATAGATAGATAGATAGATAGATAGATAGATAGATAGATAGATAGATAGATAGATAGATAGATAGATAGATAGATAGATAGATAGATAGAGATAGATAGATAGATAGATAGATAGATAGATAGATAGATAGATAGATAGATAGATAGATAGATAGATAGATAGATAGATAGATAGATAGATAGATAGATAGATAGATAGATAGATAGATAGATAGATAGATAGATAGATAGATAGATAGATAGATAGATAGATAGATAGATAGATAGATAGATAGATAGATAGATAGATAGATAGATAGATAGATAGATAGATAGATAGATAGATAGATAGATAGATAGATAGATAGATAGATAGATAGATAGATAGATAGATAGATAGATAGATAGATAGATAGATAGATAGATAGATAGATAGATAGATAGATAGATAGATAGATAGATAGATAGATAGATAGATAGATAGATAGATAGATAGATAGATAGATAGATAGATAGATAGATAGATAGATAGATAGATAGATAGATAGATAGATAGATAGATAGATAGATAGATAGATAGATAGATAGATAGATAGATAGATAGATAGATAGATAGATAGATAGATAGATAGATAGATAGATAGATAGATAGATAGATAGATAGATAGATAGATAGATAGATAGATAGATAGATAGATAGATAGATAGATAGATAGATAGATAGATAGATAGATAGATAGATAGATAGATAGATAGATAGATAGATAAGTTCCATCTCTTCCCCACATGTAAGGAACATTGGTTGGCTTTATGATTTTTTATTTATTACAACATAAAGGCTCTTTCAGATCATACTTCAATATTGCATCTAATTCCAACTTGTTAATAAATTATATTAATTAAGTGAAAATTTGAGTTGAGCAGTGAGTCAGGTCTCCCTTTTTGTAGCCCAAGTTGAAGTCATAGAGACACTGATATCAAGGAAACCAAAGAGATTATCACTTCATTGCTAAAATCCCATTTGCAAATTATTTAATTTATCAGCCATTCACAGTATGAGTTATCCCATATCTAGGTTCTTCTTCCCAAGGAATCAAACCTCCTTTCTTTAACAAAAACAGATAGATATAGATAAATATATACGATTACATTTCATAATTAGTACATATACTAAGTGTGAGCGGTGGATTTAATACTTGTATTGCATATACAGAAATAATCTAATTAAATTTATAACCAAGTATAATGTCACATTTCTGATTCAGCAAACAGTCACAAGAGCAGATCAAGAGAATCTGTCACATTTTTCACTACCGGAAATTATTGAAGAAAAGGCTGAAGATGCATTGGAATGGAAAAAGAAAAGCATGCATGAATCAACCATATGGGAATGCCCTTTATCCTAAGCAAGTCTTCAAGATTGAAAATATTAATTATTCATATATATTCGAATTCGAGTAACAAATCATAAACATCAACACATCTCCGACACCTTTTCATAAAGTAATCTTGCACCACCCCCAAAAAAGAAAAGAAAAAAGAAAAAAAAGAGACTGAAACATGTGGAAATCTAAAATCTTACCCCTTTTCCCCCTACTATATAATGCAATGATCCCAAATGGTTTAGGGTCATCGTTTTCTAACCAGAGAACAATGGATCATAACTTAATGCTAAAGTTTCAAGCCATCAAGAAATCAAAGAAGCAGCAGTTTCTGGACAAGGTTTTACTCTACACATTCATAGCATTCGCTTGTTCCTTCTTCTGTTCCAGCCCTTTCTGGCTCCCTTACTTCTTGTCCTCATTCAAGACCTTTCTATTAGTCTCTTCAACAAAAATGGGTTCAATCATGTACAACCCTAAGCAATTATTCTTTCTAGGCAACCTTATCGTCGCTGTTCTCATCGGAGAATCCAAGTTTTTTGCTCGTTTTTCAGGTTCCGGATACGACGAGCACATCGACCATCATCGGAGTCCAAACCCCGGAAACGATTCGATCCTCGAAGTGAAAAGAGAGATGAAAACGAAGCATTGCGAAGAGAAGGTGACTATGATGAGGAGTTTCCGGATTGAGGATGGTATTAGGAAAGTAAAGAAGGGAAGGAATGAGTTGCGGGGAGAACATGAAGGTGTTCTGCCCACTGAGGAGTTGAAGAAAAGAGCTGATGATTTCATTGCAAGGGTCAACATGCAAAGGAGGCTTGAAGCTACATTATCTGTTTAAGTAAAAGTAGTGAGTAGCCATTACCGTATTAGACATATATATACTTGTATCCCGCATTTTCCGTAATCCGGAGAGTTGTAATATCTTTTCTTCAACTTAATGGAGCTGCTGGCTGGTTTGTTTGATTGTTTTGGTATCAGAATAGTTTTTAGTTTATATGAATTTGATCGAATCGAGCATCAACCAGTAGTTTCAGCAGAAGGCTTTGGAATTGATGATATACATGGCATTTTTTGTTGATATTTTGACATTGTTAATGACATAGACGGAGGAGGAAAGCCATTGATTTCTGTGGCAACTTTTTTAAAACAACTATGGCCACGAAATCACCAAAGTTGGACAGACAAAAAGGTGGCACAGCCCATATCGTTTTGTTTTAACACGATTGCTTTCTTTCTTCACCAAAAAGATAAAGGTAAATCAAATCAATTTTGAATTCAACTTACGACTTTTACTAAGAGAGAAGGAAAATGTAACTATTAAGTTATTAATATACATTGGTAAAAAGACATCGGCCTTATTTAGGGTAAACCATAAGAGTGGTTAGTTTTGTTTCTGATATTTTATCTGTTTCAAGTGACATGGAAGGAAAATTTAATGATTCTTCCTCAAATAAGGAAAACTGTTTTTTTTTTTTTTTTACTTTCTTTCACCACTAGGAGCAATGAAGAGTAAAGTTATATCCAAGGATTTCACATCTTCACCGAAATAATCTTTCAAGCAAATAAAGTCCATGTTTAATTCAGAAAATTTAAGTTTCGGGAGTAATTTGTGTTGAAAAATCAAATAGCAGCCGGCTGCTTTAGGCTGCTTTTATTTTTTTTTAATTATTATTTTTGTTGAATTATGCAAGGGATAATTACAACATTTAGCCACTAAAATTTAGGGTATTTACAAGATTAAGTCCTTAAGATTTAGCTATAAATACCCTATCCCATTTAGTTTCAAAACCATCCCAAAGCATTCTAGCTTTCTTCCAATACTAGAGAGATTTAGAGAGTTTCTTGAGAATTGTTTTTCTCCTTTTTATCAAGAGAGAATTATCATTGTTTTCTCCTTGGTCGATAGAGAGAAGTTGTAATTCATATTTTCTCATAGTGAAATTCTTCTACCGTTGCCCGTGGTTTTTACCCTAAATTTTTAGGGGTTTTCCACGTAAATTTTGTGTCTCTTTTATCTTCATTTTTATTTTCTCAAATTATCAGTTGCGATTTTACTCTATCTGATAGCCGTCTTCCGCAACAATTGGTATCTGAGCCAGATTTGAGTGTGTAATATCTGCTTATTGTCTTTGTGGTTGTTACCAAAAGGTGGATCCTCCAACATAAGAAAGTAAGAAGTTATTACCCATTCTTTGAGGTTCTAGAGAACTATTCACGATAGTGAAATAGTGGGAGCTATCCGTAATAGAAGCTATGGCAACGAAATTTGATATTGAAAAATTCAATGGGAGAAATTTCTCATTGTGGAAATTGAAGATAAAGGTTATCCTGAGAAAAGACGGGTGTCTAGCGGCTATCAGTGAAAGGCCGGCGGATTTCGCAGATGACAGCAAATGGAACGAGATGGACGGGAATGCTATGGCAAATTTTCATCTAGCATTAGCAGATGAAGTATTGTCAAGCATCGAGGAGAAGAAGACAGCTAAGGAGATATGGGATCATCTCACCAAATTGTACGAGGCCATATCGTTGCACAATAAAATTTTCCTTAAGAGGAAATTGTATACTCTCCGGATGTCAGAATCTACTTCAGTGACGGAGCACTTAAACACACTGAACATGCTATTTTCTCAGCTTACATCCTTAAGCTGTAAAATAGGAGAACAAGAATGTGCTGAACTTCTACTTCAAAGTCTACCGGATTCGTATGATCAAGTCATCATCAACTTGACAAATAGTAATGTCACCAATCTAGTCTTCGATGACGTTGCAGCTGCTGTTCTACAAGAAGAAAATCGGCGCAAGAACAAGGAAGACAGACAAATAAATCTGCAACAAGCAGAAGCGTTGACAACGACAAGAGGGAGATCAACAGAACGTGGCCAAAGCAGCAGTCACAAATATGGTAGATCGAAGTCCAGAAGCAAAAAGAATTTAAAGTGCTACCACTGTGAAAAGAATGGTCACTTGAAGAAGGATTGTTGGAGTCTCAATAAAAACTCCAATCCACAAGGCAATACCGCAAACACTTCAGATGATGGAGATGCTCTATGCTGTGAAGCGTCAACCACCGTGGAAGGTAGAAAGAAATATGCAGATATATGGCTCATTGATTCAGGAGCAACATATCACATGACCTCAAGAAGAGAATGGTTCCATCATTATGAACCTGTCTCAGGAGGATCTGTGTATAGTTGCAATGATCATGCCTTAGAGATCGTTGGCGTGAGAACCATCAAATTGAAGATGTATGATGGAACAATTAAAGTTGTTCGAGATGTGCGGCACGTGAAAGGCCTGAAGAAAAATTTATTATCCTACGGATTGTTGGATAATAATGCTAGCAAGATTGAAACACAGAAAGGAATCATGAAGGTGTTCCGTGGAGCGCTTATGGTGCTGAAAGGCGAAAAGATAGCAGCAAACTTGTACATGCTAAAAGGAGAAACTTTGCTAGAAGCAGAAGCCTCTGTTGCCTCATGTAGTTCAGATTCTGCAATGCTATGGCATCAGAAACTTAGACACATGTCAGAACAAGGAATGAAAGTCCTTGTGGAGCAAAAGCTACTTCCCGGCTTAACAAAGGTATCACTTCCTTTGTGTGAGCATTGTATAACAAGTAAGCAGCACCGGTTAAAATTCAACACATCAAATTCTAGAGGCAAAAGTGTTCTAGAATTGGTTTACTCTGACGTATGGCAAGTACCAGTTACATCCCTAGGCGGAGCAAAGTACTTTGTCTCATTTATTGATGACTACTCCAGGCGATGTTGGGTGTACCCTATTAAGAAGAAGTCATATTTGTTTTCCACTTTCAAAAACTTCAAAGCGCGGGTGGAACTTGATTCTGGAAATAAGATCAAGTGTTTCAGAACAGATAATGGAGGAGAATACACAAGCGAAGAATTTGATGACTTTTGCAAGAAAGAAGGCATCAAAAGGCAGTTCATAGTGGCGAACACTCCTCAATAAAATGGAGTGACAGAGCGGATGAACAGAACCTTGTTAGAAAGAACAAGAACAATGTTGAGGGATGCAGGCCTAGAAAAATCATTCTGGGCAAAAGCAGTCAATGCCGCCTGTTATTTGGTGAATCGAGCTCCATCAACTGCAATAGAGCTGAAGACACCAATGGAGATGTGGACTGGTAAACCAGCTGATTATTCAAACCTCCATGTATTTGGAAGTATTGTGTACGTGATGTATAACCACCAAGAAATTTCAAAGCTAGATCCAAAATCCAGGAAATGTAAATTCTTGGGGTATGCTGATGGTGTAAAGGGGTATCGCTTGTGGGATCCCACTACCCGCAAAGTGATCATTAGCAGGGATGTTATCTTTGTAGAAGATAAGCTACAAAGAAAAGAAGACGATGATAGCGCTGAAAAGTCAGAGACTACACATATACATGTGGAAAAAGAGGTTGAACAAGGAGATTCTTCTGAAGCAGAACCAGCACATGATGAACAAGAACCAGAGTGTTCTGAAACTCCAACAACTCGTCATTCAGATCGTGTGAGAAGACGTCCCAATTGGCACTCAGATTATGTTATAGAAGGTAATATTGCATACTGCCTTTTAACAGAGGACGGTGAGCCATCAACATACCAAGAGGCAATAAACAGCTCAGATGTTTCACTATGGATGATGGCGATGCAAGAGGAAATTGAAGCCCTTCATAAAAATAATACATGGGACCTCGTGCCACTACCACAAGGAAGGAAACCAATTGGTAACAAATGGGTCTTCAAAATCAAGAGAAATAGTGACGATCAAGTGGAGAGGTATCGTGCAAGACTGGTGGTCAAAGGATATGCTCAGAAAGAATGTATTGATTTCAATGAAATATTTTCTCCTGTAGTTCGACTAACAACAGTTCGAGTAGTTTTGGCAATGTGTGCTACATTGAACTTACATCTAGAGCAGCTAGATGTTAAAACAGCTTTTCTTTATGGAAATCTTGAAGAAGAGATTTATATGCTCCAGCCTGAAGGTTTTGAAGAAGAAGAAAAGAAGAACTTGGTTTGCAGGTTAAACAAATCTATGTACGGTCTAAAGCAGGCGCCGAGGTGTTGGTATAAGAGATTTGATTCCTTCATAATGTGCCTTGGATACAACAGACTTAATGCAGACCCTTGCGCTTATTTCAAGAGGTCTGGTGATAATGATTTTGTTATATTGCTGTTGTATGTGGATGACATGTTGGTTGCAGGACCCAACAAAGATCATATTGAAGAATTAAAGGCACAACTGGCTAGGGAATTTGAAATGAAGGACTTGGGATCAGCAAACAAGATTCTAGGAATGCAAATTCACCGAGACAGAAGTAATAGGAAGATTTGGCTTTCACAAAAGAATTACTTGAAGAAGATCTTGTCACGATTCAGCATGCAAGACTGTAAGCCAATTTCTACCCCTCTTCCTATTAACTTCAAATTATCCTCTAGTATGAGTCCTAGCAGCGAAAAAGAGAGGATGGAGATGTCTCGAGTACCGTATGCATCAGCAGTGGGAAGTTTAATGTTCGCTATGATATGCATAAGACTAGACATTGCACAAGCAGTAGGAGTGGTTAGTCGGTACATGGCGAATCCAGGCAAAAGAGCATTGGAATACAGTAAAGAGGATCCTGAGATACATCAAAGGGACCTCAAATGTTGCATTATGTTACGGAGGATCAAACTTACTAATAAATGGTTATGTAGATTCTGACTATGCAGGGGATTTGGATAAAAGCAAATCTACAACAGGATATGTGTTCAAAATTGCTGGTGGAGCTGTAAGCTGGGTTTCAAAATTACAGTCAGTTGTGGCTACATCCACAACAGAGGCATAATATGTAGCAGCTACACAAGCCAGTAAAGAAGCAATTTGGTTGAAGATGCTATTGGAGGAGCTTGGGCACAATCAAGAGTATGTCTCTCTGTTTTGTGACAGTCAAAGCGCCTTGCATTTAGCAAGGAATTCAGCATTTCATTCAATGACAAAGCACATACGAGTTCAATAC